ATCTATTTATTGCAATTAGATATGGAGTTGATAGAAAACGTTTACAATTTAAACTTTTCACGAAATTATTAATTTATATTTGTACAAAATATATTCGACGTTCCGGCTTGTTTTACGAAGACCGGTTCGAAGGATACAAATTGATGCCGTTGACAACTCGGAGACCACGGGTGTTGTGTGATAGCGATGAAAGGGCACAGGTGGAAGGGATATTATAATAATACAATATAAATATGGCTGATTGTCTGGGATCAGACTAAAGGCTTCCCTGAAATGTTGAGGGGAGGCTTGCTGGCAAGTGGAATGGACAATGCAATAATTCAATACTGCCTTTGTATGAGTTGGTTTTCCTTTTATTGAATATAATGATATAATAAATAATTAGTGGTCTATTGAGGTGAGATTGAATGAATGATATAATGAATAGGTGAGAGTTTCTTCAGGTAATATGAGTGATAATAATCTTGTAAGTGTATTCTTGATGTGGCGCGTGATTCTCCTACTCGTGGTTAGGACTCGCAGTGGTAGTGGGAGATGCGCTGATAAAGTGTTGTTCGGAAAATAATCCCACAATTCGACTAGTCAGTCAAACGTGCAATAATTAACGTAGAACAATAAAACCCACTAGATGTTATGTGGGGTTGCCGGGCAAGTAAAAGGTGAAAGCACTGACTAATAATTAACACATGTCTTTGTTATTTCTATTTATTTGAATTGATTTACAAAAGGGTGAATTACAGACGAACTTTATATTTCTTGATAATCTTGTGGTGTTGAAATATATTTACTATGAATGAAGCAGGTTATAATCTATTGAATATTATCACTAAGAGGTTATGGTGATTGTAATGCTCTGATCCAACACTGGAATGCTATTGTGTTTATCTTAATACGTGTGTAGTTGCCTTTAAATATCGGTCGTAAGAGAGCCGAGATGGAGGTTATGCGAAGCTGTGCGCCATCTGTGGCGGGAACAACTTGCAGTTGGAGGGATTGAGAAGCCAATGTGGCGTTTATAGCTGGTCTTGTTCAAGAGTATGTCCGGGAAGCTTCCGTAGTT